CTAAGAAATGAGCATAACGAATATTGTTTTTAAAAATCCGTTCTACTGTATTCTAAAGACATTACGATACCAAAAAAATTGATGAAAATCCGTTCTTTACGGCCGCCGTTCATCTTGAATTTTGAATACTGCCGTTCATTAAGATCAATCGAGGAAACATTTTGAAAATTACACCATTGAAATGTCGTAAAGACTACCAAAACATGTGCCAGCATTACCAAAAGTGAGTGGGAATTGATTCATGAAGCGTCAGCTACTGAGCTCACTAGACCCAGAAGTGTAGTACATGTTATATCCCAGAAGGTGGCGATGTACCTTCTCCTGGAATGTGAGACTGCTGCCAACCTTCACGACGACTTGAGTCCTTGTTACAAACAATTCAGAATATAGTAATGACCTAAATATCTAAATCTCAAAGTTTTTGGTGTTCTCTCACGATCGTCACAGTTCATACACTCATTTGCAAACAAAAGACATCAACTTTTAAAAAATTCCATACGCACATCCCAGACGTACCGTAACCACGTAGTGAGCGCTAGAAATTAGAAGAATATCATAAAAATCTTTGAAAGTAATTTACAACCTAGCCTGTGATGTTGTTAACTTCAATGATGATTGTTAATATTTCTTTCCAGCTGGTTCTGCTGTCATGCAACTATGATGTGACTTAAGGCTAAAGTTCGTCTGAGCCCAAAATCTTCTATTTTGAGAAGTATAGGGTAGTCGTTGAAGACCAAAAAACAAAACTTTCCTCTTTAACCTCCAAGTTCGGAGTTGAGACAATCCCAAACGTGGCAGTTTCGTAATCCGGGGTCCCCTGGATCAAGCTCCGAGCGGCTCCGGGCGGCTCCGGGGGAGGATCGCGGTCTCCGCGTCGCAGATTGCGCGCGCGCGCAGCCGCCACCAAGAGAGAGCGCGTTGTGCGCAGTAGCCGCCAGGGGCGCACTGACCCGCCGCCTCCGGGGAATCCCCTTCGCACTGCTCATGCATAAGAGACGAGGGCGCTCGCACAATTTCCTTTCGCCAGACTTCTTCCTGGAGTCGCCTCTGCTTTGCCTTCCCCCCGTCCCCCCGCCCTTCCCCACCTTTCCCCTCCCGCCGACGGTAGTATCCTACTTCGCCGTGCATCCACGTCCTCTCAATTTCCAAGCGCCTTCAACCAGAGGTTGCGAAACTTTCGGAGGTCCCGTAAGAATTTAAGGGAACGTGTTGAAATACCGAAGAGGCAAACGGATTGAAAATGCGAACAAATTTGTTCATTCTGATCTCAGAACCTTTGCTTCGTGAAAAACTATTTGTTCTAAAAAATTGAGATATTTAACTGTATAACAGATATATTATCATATTAAATGTGTTTGAATAACTACAAAATATTTTTGAGTGATTTTTAGAAAAATTTGGAGAATAAAAAGAAAGGAAGGAATAAATATAATTTTTGTATTAACTTATCAATACTTTAAACATAAATTGAGAATTAAAAATTAAAAATAAGGAACGTCTTGGACTAATTGTATTAAACCAGTGAGAAAATAATAAAACTTGTTGCATGGAATATTCAAGAGCAGGAGAGTTTACCGTATGGTCAAGAACATTTAAAGAGGTATTTCCAAAATTGTAATTTTTGAGTTGAAGAAATATGTGAAGAGGAAATTGTATTATTACTAGAATAAATTACATAAACGTAGTTATCAAGACGGTTTTTACATATAGGAATACACTTTTTGACGCTTTTGCACAGTATCTGTTGGACTTATGTGTTTTTTCGAACGAATCACAAAATATGACGCCGGTGGGTAACTGAGCTGAAACAACGGACTCCAGACTTTAATAAGACGGCTCTAATGAGAGCTTTTTTTGTCGTTTCTTTCTCACACTAATTTCTTGTTATTTTACAATGGACGTGTTAACTTTGGTACAACATTTAACTATTACGACCAAACCAACTTGAATTTGGAATTTCCAATTTTAATCCTTAAGTGATGACGGTTGTGCGCATTCAGCAGAAAAAAGGAGTCGCATATTTTCAATTTTTTTTATTTTCGCATTAGAGTAAAGGAATCATGTATTGAAAATTATCATTTGAAGACCTCGACAGTAAGATAACAATATGATACCACACTGTGAGTTAAATTCACTTGAAATTGCTTTATGAATGTTTATTTATATTTAGCATCGACATTGACCAAGAGACCAATCTAATGCAATGTTTGTGGAGTCAGTAAAATTTCCCCATAATTAATTTTGTAATAATAATTTTGTAAATGAATTTGGTATAGATAGCATGATTGGTTACTTTTCATTGTATTGGAGTACTTCGTTTGCAACTAAGTAAATAGTTTGAGGAGTTACTGAAACTAATTCATCAAATTTTTGTTTACTACAATTTATAAATTAAATTGTTAACTCAACAGTATGAGTAACGAAGGTCAATGAGTAGAGAAATGATCTAATTTGTTTGTAGTTTTTGCAAAATATTACTTTTTATTTTGCTAAATCATAGAAAATCATTGTTGAATGTAGTCATTTTTTTTGTAATACTATTATGTGGTACATAGCCCAAGAATAATAGTGTATTTAAAGCGATTCTTAACTTCCTGCATCTATTAAGGGTTTTTTGTAGTCACCTTCTATTGAGAGGATTCGAAACAAAAGAGAGGCTGAAGAAGATGGCGAATGAGTACTACTATTCAACGCAAAGATTTTTCTAATTGGTATGATTTTTCTTATAACAATATGGGATTACAAAAGGTATTTAACGACACGGCCGATAACAAAAACAACAGACTCGGTTTGATTATAATTCTCGGCTACCGCCTCGGTTAACTAATTTTAACTCTGTCGATTATTTGCTCTGTATCAGCCTAAGCGATATTTATAATAGATATTCTAAAAGAACCTTTTCTGTTGCAAGAAATCGTTCATAATCGGGCTTTTTTCGGAACAAATGATGACATATTAGATTTTATGTCACGACTGATTGCGTCATCACACAATTCAGCCAATCGTAGCGAGAGAATGGTGGGGAGGTAGAGCTAAACGGAACAGCCGACCACAGTTTACTCGCACGATGTCAAATACCCGAGTCGTCACAGGGAAGTTGTTTCGCAAAATTAAGTTTGATTCTCTTGTAAATGTATAATGCTGTTATACAAAAAATATAGTATGCAACTCGTGTATAATGTTGCTTTATTACATTCGTACAAATTTGTAAAACTCGCTTCTAAAATCTCTCGTTTTCAAAACATGTACTCATGCAATTAAGCTTGACATTATAAACTAATTGCAGAAACTACTATTTACGCAATAGAAGCTAGGGGGGGGACAGCAACATCCCGTTCTGCGGGCTTCATCGAGCGAAGGCAACCTCCGCACCGCGGAGCCAACAGTGTATCTTCCGCAGACCGCGCGTCGCACAGGCGTCGGAGGATAAAACTGCGCACATATTTTTGCTATTTTTAAAAGCGTGTTCTTCCGGACTTTAATGATGTCTTTCCTTCCCCGCGACGCGTACCCGCGCTGCCACCCCCCCTCCACCCTCCACCCCCCCACTTGCCGCTACCACGCCCGCGAAAAAAAAGTTGGGTGTTTTCTACTCCAGGCTTCCTTAGTTTTCCACCTTTTTTACTTGTCTCCCTTCCAGTAATATACAGCCTCGGTCTTTTCAATTTTTTCCACCGCGCTTTCATTATTTTTAGGAGTTTTTTGAGGACGCTACGCAACGCGCGAAAATTTATACAGGGCGGTGTTTTCGGTGTTGCAGATCTAGTCCGTGATTTTTAAAGCGGAATTTTACGAGGCTTGGTCTGAGGGACGCGACAGGAATTGTTCATTTCGCCGGCCGGCCACCCACCCACCCGCGCGAGTGGTGAGCGGTAG